CGTTACCACGAAGGTCAGGGGCGGCGTATCCGGGGCTGAGCCTGCCTCTGTCATGACATAGCCCTCACAGTGTCTTTGAGTGCGTGTGACCTGCCTCGTGGACCATGTGCCCAGGCTGCGGTGCGGCCACTGTGCCAGCTGGGGCGCGGCTGGCGCTCAGCACGGCCAGGGCAGGAGTCTGTGCCCCGAGCAGGCATTGTTCCACCACAGACACCGGTGTAAACAGAGGTGCCGCCTCCGGTGCGGTGCAGGAAGGTAGGTGGGCAGTGCCCGCTCCAGGTAGCGAGCCAGGCAGACCTGCCCCCGCCAACGGACGGCCATGGGCCAGGGCGCAGCCTTCTGCCCTGAGTGGAGGGGGCGCTATGACCACCCTCTCGGGCCTCACCTCTTGCCTTTGCCAGTAGAGGGACAGCGAGGAGGAGACCTAGCTCCCAGCCCTGGTCCTGTCTGAGGACGCGCTATGGCTCATGGCCTCACGCGGCGGAGGGCACGTGTGTGAGTGTGCCTTCCGAGGCTCAGACACCCTGTCCCACGGAGAGCCCTGGGCTTGCCTGGTTCCAGCCGCCCGACAGGCAGCCGCTGGCCTTGTGTCTGAGCCCACAGAAGCGCCTCCAGCATTACCTGCAGACCCGGCCCCTTCCTCGGGCCCGGCTCTGGGGGCTCCGCTCGCGGGGTGCTCGGTGCCCTGCTGCCGCAGCCCTGTGTACTTCTCAGCCTGCAGGAGAGAGCCCGTGGGTCAGCCTGCCAGCCCTCCGGCACCAGGAGCTGGACCCCAAATCAGGAGCTCCCACTCCCCGCCCCACCCCGACCTCCGTGCTGGGACTGCGCTCTGCTTCCCTCCCTGCTCCAGCTGCCCCAGAGCGCGGCCCTGCAGAGAGGAGGGGGAGCGATGGACCGGGTGTGGCTGGCCGGTCAGGGCTTCAATGTCAACGGTGAAGATCCTGGCGGGGGTGTAGCAGTGCTGGTCTGGGTGCCGCCTCAGGCAGCCTCACCCACCTGCCTGCCTGCGGGGCAGCAGGCCTCCCTGGCCGGCCTGTGACACCGGCTGCTGAGGCCGCACACGCTCGGGGTGGGGCAGGCCTTAAATGGTGCTGCTTTGCATCCGTGCTACCATCGTCTTACATGCCAAAATGACTCGCTCCCCACACGAGGGCACAACCGCACCCCTGGGGACCAGGGGCTTGGAGAGGACACCCCTCCTGCTCTGCCCGCGGGCTGGCCTGCACGCGGCGGTGGACAGGATCTATGACGGCTCCCCAGAGGGCGCACGCGGGTTCAGGCAGTTGCACTAGCCCTTTGCCCGGGGTTCGGCAGCCAGCTGGCTGAGGGGGCTTTCAGGGGTGTGCGTCTCTCTAATCGGAGGGCGAGCTGCTGCCATGGCCCCGTCTGGACTCCATCACAGGACAGAACAGGTGGGTCCACTGAGGCCCCTCGAAGCAGGTGCCGGGGCCGCTCTGGGGGGCGTCACTTCTCCGGGCTAGCCGGGCGAGCGTGTCCCCAGGCCGGCGGCAGACTCACCGCCTCCGCAGCCAGTGCCCAGTCCATCCGCGCAGTGTAGGCGGCCAAGGCAGCCGCGGCCAGCACGCCGCAGACCAGCATGCCCAGCCAGAGGCCTGTGGGGACAGCGACCATGGGCACGTGTCCAGCGCCCACCCCGCCCTCTCCCTACTCCTCCCCACGTACCCATGGTTCTCATTCTGACCACAAAGGCCAGAACGATGCCCAGTGGGAGGCCGATGGCGTAGTAGGCGATGGCATTCACCACGGCTCCGAAGGCCTGCCGGCCGGTTCCCCTCAGGACTCCGCCGTAGACACACTGGGCGGGAGCAGAGGGGCGGTGAGCAGAGGGGCAGTGAGCAGGGATGGGGCAGTGAGCAGGGATGGGCGGCCGTGGCAGGCAGCAGGCACGTGCTGGGCAGTTTACTGAGCTCTCACGGGTGGTGCTCTCAGCCCCCTTTCCTCTGCGGAGACGGAGCCTGGGAGCCCAGCTCACGCCCGTGGGGCACAGCGGCTGGGTTTCGGGCACAGCTCAGGGCCCGCCTTTGCCTCCACGCCTCATCGCCGCCTAGAAAGGGTGGTAAAACCCGAGACTGCCCGCCAGCTGGCCCGGAGATGGGCCTAACACTCATTCGGAGATGTGAGGTGCTGGTTTCCTATTCTTGCCGTAGCAAGTCACTGCAAACTTAGAGTTAAAAACAAGACACTGAGAGGAGAACCAGGATGGCGGCATAGGTAAACACCAGAGGTTGCTGCCTCGAACAACCACTTAAAAAATACAACTAAAAGAAAAAGGGACATCGCCCAGAACCACAGGAAGACTGGCTGAGGGGAAATTCTTACACTAGAAGGAAAGAGAACA